TATAGTCATATTTGTGCGCCACGGACTAAAGAGACTTAATGTGATAATATACATTCTAAGACACATAGTCTTAGAACGTAGTTTATATATCTCACTGTAGTTTATATTAAAATAAGATTTTGTATAAAGTAAGTCTTTCCTGAAGAAGTGAAAACTAAAAACGTGTGGAATTCGAACCCACGATCTTTAGGGATCAAATGTTTTAACCACTTTAAGTTACATACCGCTAGAAAGCGGGTTTCGATACCCGTGGTGGGCAGAGCACAGATGGCCCTTTGTGTAGCTTTGTGCTTAATAACAAACAACAACAACAACTCCTAAGTTACTGAGTCTCAAATAGTGTGTCTCAGTTTCATTTCATAGGCTATTTAAGGACAGAAATTTAGCAGATCCCTGAATGTAAAAGTCGATATCCGTTTTGTTTTTGTTAGTGTCGACTTTAATTTAGTGTTTGAGAATGTTTTTAAGAAGAAATAAAAAATTAGAAAGGCCAGATTCAAACTTATAACTCTGTTTTGTTGATGTAAAATTCAAGAACTTTTGAGAATAAAATTTATAAAGTTGTTTGTTATTGTTGTTAAGCACAAAACTACGCAGTGGGCTATTTATACTCTGCCAACTGCAGGTATCGAAACCCGAATTTTAGCATCATAAGCTCTCGGACTTACCGCTGAGCCAGCGGGTGGAGGCAAACTCATTAAACCAATAAATAAATATATGTATGTATAAAGTAAATTCAAATCGACCGTTAAAAATATGCGTATTAAACATACATATATGTATATAAACAGAATTGACAAACACAAACTTTACCTCCCATGAGGGCTTATAACGCTTAAATTCGGTGGTTGATCCCTGTGGCGGACACAACATAGATAGCTCATTGTGTAGCCTTATGCCTAAAAGAAACAAACATACATTTAAGCTTTCCTGAGATATAGAACTTACTGATGACAAGCATGCCAATCCCACGCGCGTTTCGGTAAAAACGGCAGAAAGTCGGCTGTTCCGATGTTACCTATTCTCGCGGTGAACCTGAGCAACCGTCTTGTCGCATTCAAATAACCTGAAATAAAAACAAAAATCTATATCTTATTTTAAGGAAAAAAAAACGGTCGAAAGTACTAGAAGCTCCCGTGTAGCTTAACATAAGTTTGTCTTCACTAAGATGTATACTACATGTTTAAGATTTCCCTAAATAATTTTTATTTTATTTGTTTATAACATACATTAATATGAAAAAGCTTCTTCAAATTTTGATTAAATAGTCAAAGAATTACTCTTAATTTATAAAGTTACCCATTTATCTACTTGTTATATTTAGTACAAATGTTTTCATCTGTAAATATATATGTATATGTAATATTTCGTGAGTCTTTTCAAGCTAGTAAAGTAATACAATACTTTATTATCTCATATAAAATAATACAAATTACTACAGTTTGAGAAATGACCCATTAAAACGCCCCTGGTGGCAACTTGTTCAGTTAATAGGGATGAATAATAGCAATGGTGTTATTAAACTGATATTCATAATTTCCGAGTTTCGAGGTAAAGAATGGAAACATAATACTTTTACAGATGTGTTTCTTCTTATATCCCTGGTGGTAAATTATATAACTATTAAGCAAAAAAAATCATTTTTTTTTTGTGTGTGTGTTTTCGAAAAGAAATTTTGGTACAAAAGACGGGGTTATACAGTGGTCCGCTTGTAAACTTTACAATTTATATTTTCAAAAAAAAAATAATAGACGAAAAATATATTAGGTGGAGTAGTTGAGGAGACACAGGATTACTACAATTTGGGAAAATTGTCCATTAAAGCGCTCCTGGTGGCAAACTTGTTAAGCTCTAGTACATATGAATATATTTCACCAAATAGACGTTCACTTTTTCCACAAAATATAACAATAAGATATTTATAAATGTTACATCGAAAGTTAAAACTTTCCAATTTCAATGTATTGATGAAACAAATTTAAATATCTCTTGTTTTAAATTTTATATCAGTAGTGCCATCTAGTGATAAAAATTTCAATAACGGGTTACAATTCTAATGACTCTTTACATTGATCAAGTAAAAGGTCTAACAACATCTTAACTTGAGATGTAGAATTATACATTGTTGCCCGGTGAAGACTCCAGTAAGAGGGCCGAAAGCTCGAAAATAAAAGTATCATAACATAAAGAAAAGTCCGTGTACAATTCTACACATTAATTTACCTACGTTTACGAGTTTTAAACAACAATGTTTACTTGATAATTTTTTGTTTTTTTATTACCTAGTAAAGAGTTGTAGAGCCATAAAAATATACATTAAGTTGTTTGAAATGGCTCAAAGGTGGGACGGAAATATTGTCATTTGAGGATAGGCTAAGATCTCTGAAATTGTTTTCTCTTGGAAACAGAAGAAATCTCACTGAGGTATTTACGATTGTTAAGAAAACTGATAATGTTGATACATCATCTTTTCTTTATTTAATGGTAAAAATAAACATTACTAGGAGACAAATATACATTTTGGCAGGATAGGAACCACCTTCAGCTAAAACAGTTTGAATTTTCTAACAAAACGGTTGGACTTTGGAATGGGTTGCCTTCAGATGTAGTAGATGCAATCAATTAAAGGAAGTTCGGGAGAAGGCTTGATAAATATTTGAATGATAAGGGCTAGCTTTGAGTATCTTATTTTATTTTAGAATATAGTCCAGTGGATGTGACGGCCTAGATGGACCGATAGGTCCCTTGTAGTCTCTAAATTATATGTATGTGTGTGTGGGTGTTTTCAGGGGTGGACTATACTTTCTTCAAGAGATTGAGATTTTCTTGGATTCGTTATGAATTTCAACTGACCATCTGGTTTGTAATTAAATACGCTTTCTTATTGTTTCCACTTAAGAATCACTTGATAATTTTCTTAAATGATTTTAACCACTTAAAATCTACCTTCCTGAAAATTGCTGTTATGCCAATTTCTATACATTAAAAAAGGTCACAGTTCATAGCGTTAGTTCTCCTCAGAGGTCTTACCTTCTCTGGGTCACAGTTCATAGCGTTAGTTCTCCTCAGAGGTCTTACCTTCTCTGGGTCACAGTTCATAGCGTTAGTTCTCCTCAGAGATCTTACCTTCTCTGGGTCACAGTTCATAGCGTTAGTTCTCCTCAGAGATCTTACCTTCTCTGGGTCACAGTTCATAGCGTTAGTTCTCCTCAGAGATCTTACCTTCTCTGGGTCACAGTTCATAGCGTTAGTTCT